TTTCTGTGTGCAGGGCTTCTGGCTCTTACTCAGGGATCATTCCTGATGGAATTGGGGGACTATAGGGATGCCAGGGATTGACCACATGCTAGACAAGCATCCAACCTACTGAACTGTCTCTCTGGCCCCAAATGTTTAAAATGTTAAGAGTTAGTACATCGTAAGCCTATAATTATATGTAAGCTTTGACAGGTGATACTAGTTTTTCATTCATAGCAGTGAAATAAACACTAAAATAAATGGAATTAAATTTAAAAGTGGCAGAGCCTGGCAAGCTATCTGTGGCATATTCGATATGCCCAAAATAGTAACAATAATGAGTCTCATTCCCCTGACCCTGAAAGAGCCCTCAATATGCCATTAGGCTATGCTAGCACGCGACAGGGACGAATGGAGTCATTACTGTGGCCCGCTTGAGCAAATCGATGATCAACGGGATGACAAGTGACAAGTTTAAAAGTGTGTCCATTTTAAAGCAATAATGGTAGTACATGGTGATTTATCCTTTGGCAGATGTTGGGAAACTTGGTGCATGAGTAATTAAAGTTTGGGGCACATTGGCAGATTGGTAAACTGCATGATGATAACATCTTAACTTGTTAGATAAAAATCTCATAACCATTGGTTCTATGTGTTAGAATGTTGGCTTGGAGAGAATTTTCAATTAAAGACATTGAGTTATTTGACTCATTGGTATCTGGTATCACAGTTAATTAAGCAAAAAAATATTTACTTTAATTGCCTGACAATTATTGAAAAATAAGAAAATACACATCAACTGCTGTTCCCATTAAGATTTCGAGGATTTCCTGGCAGGAATAGGGCATTTTATAAAAAGCAGTATTTGTATTCCCTATTCCACGGATAAGTCGTCATGCTAAATCTTGCAGCATGAAAGGTGAGTTTGTTACTTTTTTTCCCAGAATTTAGGGAAGATTCTTCTAGTTTTAGTTGAGATATGCTAATATTCATGGCAGAGCCTGGCAAGCTCCCCATGGTGTACTCGATATGCCAAAAACAGTAACAATGACGGTCCTCATTCCCCTGACCCTGAAAGAGCCCGCAATACACCATCATGTGACAGGGATGAACGGAGAAATTACTGGTGCCCGCATGAGCAAATTGATGTACAACGGGATGACAGTGGTACAATGATACAGTAGTATCTAGTGAGAAGAGTAGAAAGCATGTTAAATATTTTTTGCTCCTTACAAACATAAAAGGAAAATCTGGATATTTGGAGATGTTTCGAGGTATTTTATTCAGGAAATATTTTTCAGTAGTATAAGAATCTGGTTTATAAATTTCTGTGTATTAAACGTAGATTTTAGAGCTGGAGAGATAGTACAGCAAATAAGATACTTTCCTTGCATGCTTCTGATGCAGGCTCAATCCCTGACATCCATATGATCCCTCACACCTTCTGGAAGTGATCCCTGAGCCTAGGCTGGGAGTAAGACCTGAGCACAGCTGGATGTGGCCCCCAAATCAAAAACAAAAACAGAAAGAAAACAAAAAAACCCATAGATTTTATTTATGGAAAGAGTATGCATTTAACATCTAACTAGTTCCTCTCCCTTTAAAAATCAATTAATGCATATCTTCAGAAAACATAAATATAGTAAAAAATAAAGTACTTTTTCCTGTACTTAATCTCCCTTCTAACCAGGTTCCTCAAGACACAACTGTTAGGTTTAAAGCCGCCTGCTTTTAAAACGCAGGTGCAATGGCATTTGGAATCCTTATTCAGGTTTATGCTCCTGTTGCCTGTAGTTATATTGTGCTACAAGGAATTACGTGAGGTGTGGTGTTACATCTATGTTTATATTTCAACTCTGGCTCAAGCAATGTCATTTTGGAAAGTTCCTTCCCTTTCTGAGCTTCAACAATAAGGCTTAGAAGTACTCCTTCCAAGCTTTAGTGGATCTAGTCTGTCTCCTTTTTCCTCCTCATTTTTTTTTTTCTTTTTGGGTCACACTCAGTGATGCACAGGGATTACTCCTGGCTCTGCACTCAGGAATCCCTCCTGGAGGTGCTCAGGGGACCATATAGGATGCTGGGAATTGAACCTGGATCGGTGCGTGCAAGGCAAATGCCCTACTTGCTGTGCTATCACTCCAGTCCCTCCTCCTCTTTTTAATGGCCACGTAGCTGTATTGTAAGAATCCATATTATATTTTCTCCTAGAAAAATTCAATCTGATCTCTTAATGACTCCAGCATGCACGTATTCCGCAATGTACTCACTTAATAGGAAAAGAGTTTGCATCTCTCCCAACTAACTCTCATCCTGTTGTAAAAGGTCATTGCGTTTACCTGCTTCTGGAATCTTCCTGGAATTTAGATGGCCTCTGTTGGGTTTCATTTTGCACGCATTAATAATTTAGCGCTGGGATAAAAATAAAAACAAAGACTCTCATCTTACCGTGTGCAAACATGGTCATGTGTGCTAAATCATGCAGGTAAGCTGAGTAGTGAAATCCTGTGGGGTAGCTAGTCCAAAGAAATATTTCGAGAGTGTGGGCTGCTGCCTCTCCTTCAGGATGACTGCCTCAAAATTAAAGGGAATTAATGTAATTGCTCCTGAGAAGGATGGCATAATTTTGCTTCACAAAGGTAGTTGTATAAGCTTCAATTGTCTAATCCAAACACAGAAGCATTCTATAAGCAGCTTTCCCTCTTAGCGGCCGCACTAACTTTCAAACACTACTGCAGTTTTAGGCTTAAGAAATCACAGCAAAAGCAGAGAGAGAGTACGGGAGAAATTGTCTGTTATAGAGGGAGGGGAGGGTTGGGATGGGTTGGGGGGATACTGGGCGCATTGATGGTGGAAAATGTGCACTGGTGGAGGAATGGGTGTTCAATCATTGTCTGACTGAAACTCAAACATGAAAGCTTTGTAACTGTATCTCATGGTGATTCAATAAAAAAAAAAAGACAAATCACAGCAGTATAACCAACTTACATAACCTGCCTATGAGGATACAGCAGAATTCTGTTTAATGTTGTTTAAAGTCCACTGAAAATAGACTTTAAAGCTGGGATTGTTTTAAGTGGACCTTTGCCATTATTTTAGGAGCAACAAGGGTTGTGTTTCTTTCTTTGTGGAGTCTGTACCTCATATCTACATCAGCCCTTTTGCGGTGGTTCCATGTGCTGCGCTGCACTTGTTTCATGTTCAGTTTGCCTTGGCCAGAGTGTGCGCCTTATCAGGCTTTCATGTTTACCTCTCAATGAGTATCTGGCTTTCACATGAAAGTTGGGAGTCTTTTTAATATATTTCTTTTCTTTCTTTGAGAATTCACATTTGAGGTATCTCCTAATTCTTAATCAATATTAAGAATTCTTAATCAATATCAAACTACATGTGATATATTCCTGGCAAAAAGCTCTCCTTTTAAAGATCAGGGGCTCTGTGATTGGTCTCAGTGAAATGGAGGTTTTACTTTTTGGAGGTGGGGGGTCACACCCGGCGATGCACAGGGTTTACTCCTGGCTCTGCACTCAGGAATTACTCCTGGCGGTGCTCGGGGCGCCATATGGCGTACTGGGAATTGAACCCGGTCGGCCACATGCAAGGCAAACGTCCTACTTGCTGTGCTATCGCTCCAGCCCCCGAAATGGAGGTTTTGATCGTGGCGTCTGTCAAGGAAATATTGTCCTAATTTTAGGGAGAAAGATTTTAGGATTGCGGTTCGAGTCACACTGTAGGTGGAAAGGACTAATGCCCCTGGTTTGGAATTAAATTGTTAAACTGCATGTAGAATCAAACCAAACTCCCCGCCCCTCCCTTCCACACACACACACACACCTCTCCATTCCCCTACCCCCTCAGTTTGTATGCCTTCTCACAAGCTGGCAGCTGTTTCACTCCCTTTCTCTGCCAGTCCAAGACATACCCGTCTCAGTTCAGCTCCTGGAGCTCTTTCCCATGCAGGGAGCCAGCCTTGTTATTGCCACTGCCTGGGAAGCTTGTCCTCACCTTCTTCCCTTCCCTGCCCTTCTACCCTCCACCCGTCCCAGAGGCCCTTCTCTCACTCCATGCAGCCTTTTGCTTTTGCCTTGCCTGCACCCCTTTTATTTTGTTTCTGGCTCTGATCCCTGACTGTATTTATTTTCATTAATTCTGGTCTCAGTGACCAAGAATGTAGATTCTCTTAAAGCAGGTAACTGCACCTGATCCAGGGCAGGGCCCAGGTGTGACCGTGTGTAACAGGATGAAAGAGAAGTTGTTTACTGCCGGGTGGAAGAGCCCCTCTCAGTTTCTTTGTTTAAGATTAATTTATCTTGCAGGCTCTCTGGGACTTCAGTGATTATTTAGACAGCAATGCAGGTTTTCCTCAGAGCCTAGGGAGAATTCTGTAGACTTCTCATGGGATTTGTGCCTACCTTGAGGTCTTTAAAAATTCAAATTCACCAGGCACTCAATTACCTAGCAGGCAGAAAGAAAACCTGCGAAGGACAGAGCAGCCAGGACTGGGCTTTGGTGTGCACACATGTAGAGGTGAAACTATTTCTGTTATGTGCCTCTATTTTTCTTTTTCTTTTTGGGTCGCACCCAGTGTTGCGTAGGGGTTACTCCTGGTTCTGTACTCAGGAATTATTCCTGGTGGTGCTCAAGAGACCCTGTGGGATGCCAAGGATTGAACCTGGGTCAGCTGTGTGCAAGGCAATTGCCCTGCCTGCTGTACTATCCACCCCCTGTTCTAAAGGAAACTTTGCTACTGTGTCTGTTCCGAATGCTTTGCAAACAGCTGTGGATGGCCTGCCTTGAGGGGTAGGCCTGCTTCCGGGCCTGGCCTTCTCTCTAAGCCCTTACCCATCTGTAAGCCAAAGACTTCAGGAAAAGAAAGTTAGGGTAGCTTGGTTGCCATCTAAAGGTCAATTATTATCACCATGACAATTGTCACAGTGAAAGGAGTGGTGAAAAGCTATTTGTTAATGAAATTCGTTCTGTGTCAGTCTTTGGCTGGGTTCTGATGTTGTGTTTCTCTGTCTTAGGTAATCTACTTAAAGAAGACACCAGAAGAAGCCTACAGAGCTCTCCTGTCTGGCTCAAACTCCCCCTACCTTCCATTCAGGTACGCCTGCCCAGGAAGGTGGGCTGTAGCACTTCGCTCCGTTGTTTGCTAGTGGAGAGTTGGATTATTGTGCTTTAATGTTTCATGACTATGACTGTGATGTTGATGGGAAGGAAATCAGATGGTAGTTCTATTTTGTCAGTCGTTTGGGGGAATGTTCCCAGTCCGGGCGAGGGAGGACCCTGGGACCCTTCACATTTTCCATCTACCCTTTATTTTATTTTTATTTATTTATTTATTTTTTTGCTTTTTGGGTCACACCTGGTGATGTACAGGGGTTACTCCTGGCTCTGCACTCAGTAGTTACTCCTGGCAGTGCTCAGGGGACCATATGGGATACTGGGAATTGAACCCGGGTTGGCCGTGTGCAAGGCAAATGCTCTACCTGCTGTGCTATATCTCCAGCCCCTTGATCTACCCTTTTAGTGACTAAAAATAAATTAGCATTCTCCTTTTTTTTTGCTTTTTGGGTCATACCCAATGATGCAAAGGGGTTACTCCTGGGTCACGCACCCAGGAATTACTCCTGGCGGTGCTCAGGGGACCATATGGGATGCTGGAACTTGAACCCAGGTCGGCCACGTGCAAGGCAAACGTCCTACCCGCTGTGCGATTGCTTCAGCCCCTAGCATTCTCCTCTTAAAATTTTTTCCCCCTTTGAATATTTTTGATCTCATGACACTGAGTTTAGAGTGCCTGATTTATGAGCTAATAAATTTGTCAAGATTTGCTAGGTTTCAGCAACTACCTCACCATTTTGTCCTATTTCATGAGTCTTGACTGAGCTCTGTATGATGGGCACTGGGGCTGTAGAGTCCGCTCTGTAAGCTCTTTCCCAAGACACATTTAGTGGGAGCCCGAAGCCTTCTGGCTAGCAGACCCATCTGGTCACATTCTGAGGGAGGCTGTCTCTCATTACAATCCCGGGAAAGAACAATCTATGTATCAACTGAAAAAAATGTATTTGTTTTTTGGGTAAACTTACCCTTGCTTAAAGAAAGTCGAAGAGATATTTCAAAACTCCCATACAAGCTATCTCTCCTACACTTGTGAATGATTCTAATGTTTTTGCCTACTTGTGTTTAAATCTGTCAGCCTTAGACTGTTAGATCACATCTGATTGTGGCTAATATCTTAATAACTAACAACAGTGTGGAAAGGCCTGGGAAAGATCCAGGCTCCTTGCTTGTCTCTGTCTTCCTTCCTCTCCAGTAAACTCACAGAGGGAAGGGCCCTGTGCTTGACACTGAAAGGTATATTTTTAATTAATATTGGCATGGATAAATTTCCAGTGAGCACACAGACAGGTGTAGGTACACCTGTAGTAGGGGCAGACAGGTATAGACAGGCATCATTTTTTTCTTTATAAAAATAGGTAAGTTGTAGAAAAAGCAAAAAGATTAATTCTGGTAGAATGAAATCTGATAGAATTGGGAAAATATCAAAGTCATTTAAGTGAGGTTTTTAAAGGTAAGTGTCCAGTAGGTAAGGAGATGAGACAGAATGGAGGGCAAGCGCACAGGTGTGTGTCGTGGAAACCCCTGGGGTGTGGAGTCTGGGTGAACTTTAGAAGGCCCCTTTGATAGCGACAATGTGTCTGTGTGTGCCCATTGAGAGAGGGCTGTCAGCTGACAGGATTACTTAATCTTTTCCTGAAGTCATTGAATGCACCTTAATCTCCCCTTCCCACCCCCAAATGTGCACGCGCACGCGCGCTCACACACACACACACACACACACACACATACACATACACATCCTGTGACGCTCCTGGCTCTGCAATTACTTCCTCCTGATGGGGCTCAGCCCTGCACACACACACACAAACACACACACACACACACACACACACACACACACACACACACACCTCTCTCCCCTGTGACCTCCTTGCTCTGCAATCACTTCCTCCTGATGGGGCACACACACACACAGAGACACACATTGTGACCTGCTGATCTCTCTCTCTCTCTCTCTCTCTCTCTCTCTCTCTCTCTCTCACACACACACACACACACACGCACATGCACACACACACACTCACAAACATATCGTGACGCTCCTGGCTCTGCAATCACTTCCTTCTGATGGGGCTTAGCCCTGGCAAGGCCCTTGCCCAGCCCACAGAACTATTTCTTCACTATTCTCTCTCTCTCTCTTTTTTTTCTTTTTGGGTCACACCTGGCGATGCACAGGGGTTACTCCTGGCTCTGCACTCAGGAATCACTCCTGGTGATGCTCAGGGGACCATATGGGATGCTGGGAATCGAACCCGGGTTGGCCGCATGCAAGACAAACACCCTACCCACTTTGCTATCGCTCCAGCGCTCTATCTCTTTTTTTTCAACAAAAAAGTTTTGTTTTTGTTTGTTTGGTTATTGTTTTTGGATCAAACCAGGCAGCGCTCAGGCTTACTCTGTGCTCAGGGACCACTCCTGGTGGAGCTGAATCCAAGGCAAAGGGCTCCTGACCCCTTAGATTTGTTTTTGAAATCATAAGTATTTGTAATTTTCTTGGTTAATTTGAAGATTACACATGCACCTGAAAATTATAATGCTATAGTAAAATTGTGACACCGGCCAAAGGTCCAACAGATGATGTAAAATCAATATAAAAATTTGGAGCAATGGATGATATAAAAGTTAATATAAAAATTTGAAATGGGAAATATGTATTAATTTTTATCCTCATAATATTATCTACACAAAAGTCAAGAAAGATATTTCATTCCACCAGGCACATGAGCCCGGCTATTGTATATTGTTAATTGAGGTGAAGAAAATAGAGGAGGAAAGAATAAATTCTTTAAGTATAGTTTTTTAGCTGATATATACTAAGTAATTAATTAGTTTCCTGGGAATAAAAAGTTTTGAATAATAAGATTGGATTAGATGGAAAAGTGTATGAGAACTATTATTACTTAATGTAGAGTTGCAATTATTAACAATTGTGGCCTGTTTTTCAAAATTATTTTTAGTGACTAAGTTACTTGGAAATAAAAATTATTCAAACGATTCAAAACTTTAGAAGATTGATGAAAATTATAATAAAAAAGCATATTGAAGATTCTCTTTCTTGATCCTCATCTGGCTAAACTCAGTAACTTCTGGTTTTAGTTTATTCTCCTAGCATTTCTTTATGTATGTATCAACAAATAAATCTAGTTGCTTTTCCTATTTTTATTTTTTTAAATGTAGCATATTACATAAACTATTGCATCTTGATTTTTTTCCTACTTAATTTATGTGGGATATCTTCATGTCAGTAAATGCTAAGTTTCTTATCTTACTGTGTTATATTGCTATAATAATGTACAAGAATATATATTTTCCTAGTACCTGCAGACATTTAGGTCATGTCTTGTCATTCTGACTATAGTGTCTTAAATTTTTCATGGCCTTGAATGTATTACTAGAAGAGACTAAGATAGTTCACTGGAAAAAAAAATGATACTGTTATTAGATGTAAAATGACTGTAGTATTTTGATTACATAAAGGTACTAAGGAAGAAAGAATGGTTAATGCAAATGTGAGGCATTTTTTTATGTATGCACTTATTTTCCATCTAAAATTTTGATCCTTGGGACTACAGCAATAGCACAGCAGGGAGGGTGTTTGCCTTGCACGCGGCCAACCCAGGTTCGATTCCCAGCATCCCATATGGTCACCTGAGCAGCGCCAATGTTTACTGAAGGCTGGAATTTTCACAAACATTATTCATTTGAAAACCGTTGTCTCTGACAACAATCTGGAAATTCTGCTGGATACTCTTACAGGACCTTAGACAAATTCCAGTAGTATGATTTGGAGAATAAAAGTTCAGTGATATACACTATAAGCGTATAAGCGTGTAAGTAATATACGCTTTAAGTAAGTACCCTGAAAGGAAAAGAACCCAAAGAGATTCATACCATGCTTGCTAATTCACTCTTGACTCCAGCCCCAGAATTGAAAAGATCTCTTGTTACCATAAAGACCAACTTGCCAACATGCTAAGGATAGAAAGACTCAAGATCAAAATAGCCAAATAAACATTTTCCTCCAGTTTTCAGGTAAAGACACTCTTGAGAGATATCTGGAGATATCTGGGTTATCGTTAGTATAAGAGAAAAGTACAGTTTTAATACAACTTCTTTTTTTTACAGTTACAGACTTACAAACTTTTGTGTTTACATTTCAGTCATTCAATGATTGAGTACCCATCCCTCCACCAGTGCCCATTCTCCACCACCAATGTTCCCTTTATCCCTCCCACTACCCCCACCCCATCTCCCCAACCCCTACCCCGCCTCAGTGGCAGGGCATTCCCTTTTGCTCTATCTCCTTTTAACTTTTTTGTTAAATGGAATACTAATACTAACTTAACAAATGGTAATAGCATAACTGACACTTCTTCAGTTATACGAGCTACAGCCATCCCACCTGAAAGTGCCCAATTACAACTGCAAGTCAATTCAGAATTCAGTCAAGTATTTAACTATGTCTAAAGTTGATGATGATAAAGTAACAAAATGGGAGACTAACACCCAGGAGTGGCAGAGATTAGTACCAGGAATTTTGCTCCATGACTTGGAGGCCAGCCACACATGCTAGGGGAAAAGGGAGCTCAGATAAGGGAAGGGAGCACCAAATAAAGGGTGTTGGGAGGATCCTCCCAGGATAGGAGAAGCATGCTGAAAGTAGACTATAGACCAAACATGAGTGCCACTCAATGCGTCTCTTGCAAACCACAGAACCCAAAAGGAGAGAGAGAGAGAACGAAAGGGAATGCCCTGCCACAGAGGCAGGGTGGGATGGGGAGGATGGGGGGTGGGAAGGATACTGGGACTTGTGGTGATGGAAAATGGGCACTGGTGGAGGGATGGGTACTTGATCACTGTATAACTGAAACCCAAGCACAAAAATTTGTAAGTCTATAAGTATACCTCATGGTGCTTCACTAATAAAAAAAAATAAAGTTGATTTTTTTTTTTTTTTTTGCTAGGGGGTACTGGAGGCTG